TGGGTCTGCGGGGGATGCGCATGCCCCTCCCCGGTGTCTGGGAAGGGCCAGACTCAGGCTTGACGGGAAATGCCACCCCTGGTCACTGAGCTCTGGTAACAGCAGCTGAGCTGGGCGACAACCTCAGTGCCCAGGCAAAGGAGTGGGCAGGAGTGTCCGTGTGACAGGCTGAGCTGATGCCCAATGTGCTCGGGGCACCCGGGGCTGTCAGGGCAGAGGCCCCGGTGGACACGCAGGGAGACGGCAGAGAAGCCGCGCTTGTCCTTGGCTTTGGACTTGAACCAGAACTGAGGGGCTGGAGGAGCCCTGGGAACAGACCCAGGGAGACCGACTGTACCGGGGCTGGTCTTTCATTTTGCTCCTTGGCCCCAGCCTTGCTGGCGCCAGTCACCCACTTCAGGTCCCAGCTGGAGGTGCTGAGACTCGGGGTCCCTCATGTTGCATTGGCCCGGCTTCGGCCAAGGTTGTGCGGTGGGTCTTTGCCCAGCAGGGGATATGTAATGTTGGGGGTTTTAGTCCCAATGTTCTTTCTTTGCTTTTCTCTCTTAATTAATTCTTTTATGTTTTTAAGATTTATTTATTTATGCATATAAGAACTGGGGTACAGGCTAGTGGTGTGGGTGTGAAAGGATTCACTAGAGACAGAGTGGGGAGCAGGATGGGCAGATTGATTGAAATACACTGCTGAGGGAACAGCAGGTGGGTCAAAGGAGGCCTGCTAGGCCATGTGGGTCAGCTCCCTGGCCGGGGATCGAGCTCAGGCTGCAGTGGCTGTGGTCAGCCTCATAGTGCTGTGCTGTAACCCATTGTGCAATCAGGGAGGGCCCCCTATGCACACTAAATTTTTTAAAGTTCTTCACACTAAGAAAAATATACAGGTTTTACATGAAACTGATGAAAACTATAAAACATGCAAAGCTGGACACTAAGTATTGCATCTTTTTATGAGCAAACTGAAACAGCTGCTTTTGTCTCCAGATGTAAAACTTTTACAAGTACTCTGATTTCTCATGTCAAAGTGTTTGTTTGTAGAGACCCAATAAGGTCCTTTCCCCCTCTCTCTAATAGATAGTGGAAATACGGGCGCTTTCCCAAGGTTTTGTCTAGAATGTTGTTTTCAGAAACCAGGCTGATCTCAGAGCCCACAAGGAAACAGCAGCCTGGCACCCACTTGGGGGGGTACAAGGGTCTGTCATGAGGATAAAGAAGGTAATCTCTGGCAGGACCAGAAACCCCGGTGTCTTGGGAGCCTAAAGACACAGGTGGCTCAGGCCGTGTGTGATGGGGGGCCCCAGTGGGTCCGGAACCCCACCGCCAGGCTTCAGCGGCTCTCAGTCTGGGGCTCTTATTACAAGTTCCAGCAGAGCTAAAAGGTCTGCGTGAGGATTCTGTCCCTGCTCAGTCCATGCACACTGGCTGTGGGGTGTCGTGTCCACTGAGGCCAGCAGCTGCCAACAAGGTCTGGGCTGCCCGTGCTGGCTACCGGGAGCTGCAGCAGAGACGGGCTGTTCTGAGACTCTGTGACTCGTTATAACAAGGCCAGCGGGGATGGGAGGGAGGAAGGGCCTTCAGGGTGCTGCGCCCCCCATTCTCTCAGAGCACTGGCCAGGGACCTGAAACGTGAAGGTGGTTTACTCCTACAAGCACTTGCTTGTTGGCTGTCTGACGGCACCCAGCAGAGCCCAGGCCTGTCCCCCTGACAGGGTGGATCTCTGCTGTCTCCCTGTAGAGGGCAGTGGCCACATTCTCTCTTCCTCCGAGCATCTGTGTCAGTGATGGCGCCTTCCTGTGCGGAAGCTTTTCAGTCTGATGTGGTCCCTGCTGCTTACAGTCCTGTTGTGTCCCTGCTGCAGGGACGGAGCCACAGATGCCTCTGAAATGTGTGTGCTGGCGCGTCTGTCCACGCTTTCTCCCATGTATTTTGTGGCCTCTGGTCTCACATCCCGGCCTCTATCCATGCTGAGTTGACTTTGTGTGAGGTGTGAGACAGTGTCCGGCTCATCCTTTGGCACGTGGCTGTCCCATGTTCCTGACACAGTTACAAATGAATGGTCTCTACTCTTAGCAAGTTTGCCTTTCCCTCATTTGGCAAGCTCATGACTGGTTTCCGGAGCGCTCAGATAATCATTTGCATGTTTGTCTGTCCCTGTTCACTTTCTCTTCCCTTGTTTGACAGGTTTGGGTTCAAAGGAGAGGAAAGTCAAGTAGCAGATGTTGGGACAGGTGGTGCCCACCTGTCTGTATCCCTGCTGACCCCTGCGCCCACCCCTTTATTCCTGCTCATCCCCTCAAATCTCCCTGTGTATAAATTACAGCTGGGCCACTCTGCTCCACCCCAGTGCTGATGTCAGAGCCCTCCCCAAGGCAGACCCTGCCCATTCCCCCTTGTCTCCCTCTGTATAGATCCCTGCACCCCACCACAGAGCAGGACTTGGTCTTTCAGACAGGAGTCTGCCGCCCTCCTCATCTGTCGCCAGTTGAACACTTTCCTTTCCCTGGAGCTCTGTTTCCTTCTATGGGCTGAGGGAACCTGGACCTGCCCTCGGTGACATTACCGCTTCGTCCATGGAAAAGGCCTCCCGCGTGACCTTGTTCTGACCTGTCCACATGCACTTCAGTAGGTTGCGTGCTGGAAAAGGAGCTAATTCTTCCCGTCAGAAGCTGTGTTTTATTTTATTATGTTTATTCATGTATATTGTACATCAGTGTTCAACTTTTTACAATGCTGCTTCGTTTCTCAGCGGTAGTCCCCACAGAATCGTCACCTGTAGTGTCTGGTTGTCGTCATCACAGTCCCTCGTTTTGAGCCCTCTCCCTCCCCTGCAGAATGAAGTTATATTTTCAGGTCATGATTTAGTTCATATTCTCCACTGTCTCCTGGCAGCCATAGGTATTTACCTGGAGTTACGTCAAAAGCACCAGGAACAACTAAAAGATTAAAGGTGTCTGTCCGTTAAAGAGGAGAGTAACTCATTAACCCGCCAGGATTAGGACAGTTTGCCTTTGCCCAGCAGAGGGGAGGACAGTGACCAGTGTGTGGTGACAAAGCAGCCGGACCAGGGCCTGGGGAGCTGGGAGAGGCAGTGAGGGGTTGGGGAGGGAGGGGGCGGGAGGACGTGTGTGTGTGTCCCCTGCAGGGTGTCCAGTGTCCCCTAGGGTTGTCCTGGGACCTGTCCTGTGTTGTTACCCCCCTCTTTCCCTCTCCATAGAGAACAAGAGGCAGCATTCAGGGGGAGGTGAGGATTCTGGGTGTGTCCTCCTGGGGCAGTTGTGACTCCAAGGTCCCTAAGGGGAATAGCTGGATGCTACAGATAAGCACAGAGAGGAGGGACAGGAGAGTCCAGGCACTGACAGTGGCTAACAAAGGAGCCTCTATTGGAGGGGGTTCACAGACCCCCAGGGTGGTCCAAGAAGTGGAGCCCAGGTCAGAGTAAAGGCTTTTGGGATTCAGTCAGTGTGGAGATAGGGGCTGGGTGGACGTGGGAGGAACAGTTGCTTGTTTTCTGTATGGGAAGATAAAGGCCAGGGCAAGCTTCAAGGCCCCTTCCCGCCTTGCTGG